CAAATATTTAATTCCAAATATATAATTCCAAATATCTATTCAGTATATAAAATGACAAATATCAATTGAGTATATAAAATGACAAATATCAATTGAGTATATAAAATGACAAATATCAATTGAGTACATAAAATGACAAATATCAATTGAGTATATAAAATGACAAATATATAATTTATTAGAAGTTTGCTAAGTGTTAACAGGTATGGAGGAATATATATTACCTCTTTCACTAACATCTCTTTCTTTTCTTGGTTGGATTTCGAATTACTTGTCTCTTAAGAACACGGACGGAGGGATTGATCCAAATTCCCTCATCATGATCTTTTCTGATATATGATTCATCCGCTGTAGTATCATCATCTCGATCGTTTCTAATATACGACTCATTCTCAACATCAACATCAACTTGATCCACACTTTTATCATCAATCACTTTGTTAGATAAAAGCACTATAGACCATTTCGTACTCTTCGGGTCTGTGACATAGAACACTTGTTTAGCTTGAGAGGCTAGAATAAAAGGCTCATCTTTGTACCCCACCCTACTAAGATCCACTTGCAAAAACCCTGACTTATCCATTCGTATGCCACTAGTATGTACCCACTTGCAACCAAAGATAGGAATCTGAAACTTCTCATAATCAAACACCCATATGTGATTGATAACCCCGAAATATGACAAATTTTCATATTTGGGGTTTAAGTCCTTCATACCAGAAATGTGCATTGCTTCACATACCACCGTGACACCACTATTTTGCATGGTACTTTTCTCATCTTATTCTTTGGTATAAAATATGTATCCATTAATTCCGTATCCTCTATAAGAGAACACAATCGAACTTGGACCATATGCCAAACATCTCAACCTGTCTGATATTGAAGCGGGATCTGAATGAAACTTTGAATATATATGATCCTTAAACCACTGTATAAAACTTTGATTGTGCTCTCGTACTATCCAATTTTCATTTCTACTTTGATTCTCACCTCTGAGTATAGCCTTGTGCATTTCAACAAACGGCTCAACCTCAGTGTCATTGTGCAGAACATACAAATGCACTTGATCCCGTTCATCCCTTGATACTGTCACAATTTCATTTCCAATTAATTTGTTACCTTCTTTTTTTCCGAAGAAATGAGATTTGGGGAGTCCAATGGATTGCACATTGGACAAAAAATCAGTACAAAACTCAACCGCTTCTTCAACAACGTATCGCTCAACGATACAACCCTCTGGACGACTTCGGTTTTTCACGTACCCTTTTAATATTTTCATATAACGTTCAACAGGATACATCCATCTCATATAAGCTGGTCCACACAATTGTGTCTCTTTCACAAGATGAACAACAAGATGTACCATGATGTCAAAAAATGATGGAGGAAAATACATTTCAAGGTCACACAGAGTAATAACGATTTCTTTTTGTAATACTGGTAAGATCTCAGGATCGATCACCTTACTTCAAATTGACCTGGAAAAAAAACACAATCTAGTTATAGCGCTTCTTACTTTTTCTGGAAAAATAGAACGTATACCTATTGGTAGAAAATGTTCCATTATGACATGGCAATCATGTGTCTTCAAACTCTTTAACTTGAGGTCTTTCATGGACATGAGTCTTCTAATGTCTGAGGAGTAACCTTCTGGAACTTTAACTTCACTCAGAAACTTACACAATATTTTCTTTTCCTTTCTAGATAGAGTATAAGAAGCATGTGGTAGATATGTTCGTCTTCCTTTCTTCACGGGTCCTAATTCAGTTCTTATTCCCATCTCTACCATGTCCTCTCTTGCTTTAAGGCCATCCTGAGACTTTCCTTTTATATTGAGTAACGTACCAATAACACTTTCAAATACATTTTTTTCAATATGCATAACATCAAGAAAATGTCTTACATACAAAGATTTCCAATATGGCAATTCAAAAAAAATTGACCTCTTCTTCCACCCACATGTGACAACTTTATGTGCAAAAGGCTTGCCAAACTGAATACTCACATCTTTCACCTTTTCACAAATTTGATCACCTGTCAATCCAGGTGGAGCTCTACGTTGTTCGGTATTTCCATTGAACGCTTTTCTCCATCCACGATATTGATGTTTTGAATTTAAGAATCTACGATGACCGAGAAAGACATTCTTTTGACAAAGTTTCAATGGTGTCGTATCGGTTCCATCTTCACAGACAGGACACGCTTTTTCACCTTTAATGCTATACCCGGATATATTTCTATATGCTGGAAAATCGTTAATTGTGCCAAACAACATCGCCCTCAAATTGAAACTTTCTTTCCTATATCCATCATAAACCTCCACACCGTTCTCCCACAAAATCTTCAAATCTTCGATTAAAGGTTTCAAGTATACATCTATGTCACTCCCTGGTTGTTTAGGCCCAGAAATTAACGTAGATAACATCATGTACTTGCGCTTCATACATAGCCATGGAGGTAGGTTATAAATCATAAGAATCACAGGCCATGTGGAATGTGAGATACTTTGAAGACCATGCGGGTTCATTCCATCCGTAGATAATGCCAAGCGAAGGTTTCTTGTTTCTCCTCCAAAATCAGGATAATCATTATCAATTTTCTTCCACTGTGGTGCATCTGCCGGATGTCGAAACTTTCCATCGATAATTCTTTCATCTGCATGCCAAGTCAAGTGTCTAGCATCGGTTTCACTACGAAACATGCGTCTAAATCTCGGAATAATAGGAAAATACCATAAGACTTTCGCTGGAGATAATTTTTTCTTATATCGAGATAAACCGCACTTTGGGCACTCATTCAACTATGCATATTCGTTTCGAAACAAAATACAATCATTTAGACATGCATGTATCTTATCATAGCTCATGCCAATATAGCACAACATTTTTTTGGCCTCGTAGGTTCGATTAGGAAGAACATTATCCTCAGGAAGCATATCTCTCAAAAGGGCTAATAACTGTGTGAAACTTTTATCTGACCATCCATTGCGCGCCTTTAAGTTGTACAATTTTAATACCGCAGACAATCTTGTGAATTTGGGGCAATCTTTATACAACGGTTTCTCAAAATCGCTTACCAACCTCTCAAACATTTTGGGACAATCTTGAAGATCTTCTTCAAGTGCTTCTGCAATCTCTTCCACCCGATCACAATCATATGTATCTGTGGCATTGTCGTACGAAACATAGGTCGCATTACTTTTCACCCCCGGTTCAACATTCTCGATGCTTTTCTCACCATGAAATATCCAACACGTATAACTTCGATCAATTCCGCGCATTAGTAAATGCGATTTCAATCCATCTGCGTCAACTCAACCCACATAACAACAACCCAAGCAAGGACATTTCATTATATTCGGGTCTTCAGCGTGTTCAACAGCAAACTTAACGAACTCTAATACCCCATCCTCGTACTCTTTTGACAATCGATCGGCACACATCCATTTTTTATCCATGGTTTTAACTATTATCTAAGTTAAAGACTCTGTGTTGTCAACAAAAATCAAACATGTGATTAGAACAATTCTAGAAATGAGGATTGTTGTGGTCCTATAACATATTCAATCAATGATCGTCAATGTTACTATTTTAGAGACATTAGCTTAGTTGTGAACTCATTCTAAGATTCACGATTTGTGTTATTTTTTACTATTACTAAGTTGAATATTAGATGGGGGATTTACATGATGTGATTCCTTTGTTCCTTGCAGGCATGTCTACATGAGCTAAGCATACATTATGAGAAACAGAAAAGAAACAATGTAGGGAAATTAAGTGTCATGTTGAATGGTAACTCCAACATCTCCTAGTTATGCTTTGTTATGACTCGGTTTGTCTCTGCTATGTACAAACTCAATCCTCCACTATCTTATTCTTCTCCCATCATTGAGAAATCTAAGATTATTAAACCCATTACAAGTATTTTGACTAGTCCATAATATATCTTAGATTTAAAAAAAAAATCAAAATAAAAGTTTCAAAAGAGAGAATAGAAGCCATAATACCTAAGGTTCCTCGGCTTTTACTCGCGGAGGAGATTCTTAATTTTCTATTTCGCCGTAAGAAGAGAAACAATAAGAAGATGAAGATTCCAGCAAGAGCAGAAGAAGCAATCAATGCTAGTAGAATTCTCTTATTCAAATTCTGGTGATGCACTATTCTAACATCTTGATTTCCTGTATCATTCATTGTAAAAACAATACATCAAAGATTAACCGGTGGAAGTGCAGGAAATTCATTATTGTCAATTTAAAACTAACAAGACCAAAACTATTAATCGTGGACACATTGCTTAAGCTAAAATCACCATCTAGTAAAATTAAATCTTAGAGTATACGTCAGTTGATGACATGAACTCACCTGATATGAGTAATGGGTGTGAACATCAATTGATGACATGAAACAAGATTGTGTAGGATGAGTCTGGCAATTCAGAATTATATACGTCAGCATTGCAACACGGATATGGGAAGAATATAGAAGTAAAAATAATAAATTTGTGTATGATATAAATGAAACCTAGGAGTGCTGCTAACAAGTAAAACACACATTTTCATTCTCTTTTAGTATTACATGAAATATTGAGTGGATCCCACTAAATAACATGGAACTACTCCTTATCAATGAGGCCTACATGCAATATTATCAAATAATTGGGTGTTGAAAAGAATCTATTGCTAATATTAACTAGAGTAACAAAACAAAACTTCAACTCTACATGACATAATTTCTTATATCTGTTCTTTGGAAGTTGGAAAATAGAAAGAAATAATTAATAAAAACACCAATTTGTACCCTCCTAGCGCAAATGCCACAGAAGTTCAGACTGCTTCATTTAAGCAAACAATTTTAAATCCACCTAATGGGTTACTATTGTTTCTGTTTGTGGAGTGTTCTTTTTTCAAAGTGGACTCAAAGTGTGTGAAAGGGTGTGATATAGCTTTAGCTTCTTACTATGTCATGCCTTTAGTTGATCTCCCAACTATAACAAATTTCATGCAATCAAAGATTGTTACCAACTCTTCTAATGTTTTAAATAGTTACAATAAAGTCTTAGTAACCAATCATGGTAATATTTTTTCCTATTTTAGAATCAACATTCCATTCCCATGTGAATGTATTGGAGGTGAGTTTTTAGGACATGTGTTTGAATACACAACAAAGAAAGGAGATACTTACGATTTGATTGCAAATAATTATTATGTAAGTTTGACTAGTTTTGAGCTTTTGAAAAAGTTCAATAGTTATGATCCAAATCATATACCTGCTAAGGCTAAGGTTAATGTCACTGTCAATTGTTCTTGTGGGAATAGCCAGATTTCAAAAGACTATGGATTGTTTGTTACTTATCCGTTAAGGTCTATGGATACTCTTGAGAAGATTACGAACGATTCTAAACTAGATGAAGGGTTGATACAGAATTTCAATCCTAATGTTAATTTCAGTAGAGGAAGTGGGATAGTGTTCATTCCAGGAAGAGGTATGTATTTTGTTTTTATTCTTCTTCTAAGTATCTGTAGTGGCTTTTATTAAAGTCTTATTTATTTTTAACTTTTGCAGATAAAAATGGAGAATATGTTCCTTTGTATCCTAGGTAGGCAACTTTGATTATCTCACTTCTCAAGTTGAGTTCTTCATAGAAAAAGTAAATTTGCTTCATATTTGTTTCTAACTTTTATTTTTTTCCCTCTTGCATAACAGGTTTTGCTAAGGGTGCAGTTGTTGGTATATGGATAGCAGGAGTATTCGGGCTTCTATTATTTGTTATTTGTATATATGTCAAATACTTCCAGAAAAAGGAAGAAGAGAAAACTATACTGCCCCAAATTTCTAAGGTGCTTTCAACTCAAGATGGTAATGATAGTTTTTGTGAAAGTAACTTATGATACTGTTAAAAGTTAGTATTTATTTATTTCAATAAGTTTTCTGCGATAACTTGTGAAAACAACTTTCTGTTCTTGGTGAAGCCTCGGGTAGTGGAGAATATGAAACTTCAGGATCTAGTGGGTATGGTACTGGTAGTGCTGCTGGGCTTACAGGAATTATGGTGGCAAAGTCAACAGAGTTTTCATATCAAGAACTAGCTAAGGCTACAAATAACTTTAGTTTGGATAATAAAATTGGTCAAGGTGGATTCGGAGTTGTCTATTATGCCGAACTCCGAGGCGAGGTATGAAACTGCAGTGACTAATTTTTATTTTTTGTTAGTGTTTGATATCTTATCCTCTTATTCAAATTATTCTATGCAGAAAACAACAATTAAGAAAATGAATGTACAAGCATCAACAGAATTTCTTTGTGAGTTGAAGGTCTTAACACATGTTCATCATTTGAATCTGGTATAACATCCTTCAAACTACTTAATTCAATGTTTTTCATTGTTAAAATCTTTGTTAAGCTTTTTGCATAAACAGGTTAAATTTATGTTATGAACCATGTTCTGAATTTACCTAAATTTTTATGAACAACATAGGTGAGGTTGATTGGATATTGTGTTGAGGGATCGCTTTTCCTTGTATACGAACATATTGACAATGGAAACTTGGGTCAATATTTGCATGGTTTAGGTAAGATCAGCAAGAAAAGTGCTTATATTTTTATGTAATCTTACAATATTGTCAAACAGTTATCAATGACAGTGACATCATTCCAGGTAAAGAGCCATTACCATGGTTTAGTAGAGTCCAAATTGCTCTAGATTCTGCAAGAGGCCTTGAATACATTCATGAACACACTGTGCCAGTTTATATCCATCGCGATGTAAAATCAGCAAACATATTGGTAGACAAAAACTTGCGGGGAAAGGTAGCATTATAACCAATCTAAACGATCTTCTTTTCAAAATTTTCTTTATTTGTTAAGATTAATTAAACTATGAGTGGCTTAAACTCAGGTTGCAGATTTTGGCTTGACCAAACTTATTGAAGTTGGAAACTCCACACTTCACACTCGTCTTGTTGGAACTTTTGGATACATGCCACCAGAGTATGCTTTATTTTTCCTTATATTATATTTCGAGCGCACAGTTTTTGCATGATTAATCAGTAAGATTATGTCGTCTTCTTTCAACCACTCGTAGGCATCTGACTCGTATTCCAACATACTAACCTCCCGCACTAGAGTTTCGAACTCATTCCATGTATTTTGATCAACACCATCATTACTGTTCACTAAATCGACAAACAAACGCTTTCAAATTTTGAAATTTAAGAGTATTTTTAGAATTTCACCGTTTGAGTAATCCAACCCTGTATTTTTAATATTAATATTTAGTATGTTATATGCGTTATATATATATTCGTAAAAGTCGAATGAACAAATTGGATACCTAAGCATTTTAACCATAGCATATCAAATTTTGTTAAGAAAAACATTCAAATCTAACTGAACTACATGCTATTTGCCTTAAAAAGATCTTTAACTTCCAAGCATGATTCATCACTTTTTTTAGGGTTAATTTCCATACAACAATTCTAACAAACAAACATCATCTTACAACGATGTTATTGATGAAGAAGATAATTTCAAACCTCTGAGGAGAAGAAGAACACTTACTTGGATTGAAAAAATGAATTAGCCGTGGGCCGAAGATTCGAAGGTGATGCAACGGAGGAGGCTGCTGGTGTTGGTGATTGTGCCGTTGATGCGAGGCGGAGGGTAATGGTTAGAGGACGACGAAGGGATGAAGGATGGAGACGGTTGACAATTGATGGTGGTGGTTGGTAACGATGAAGATGAAGCGGTTGAGAGGAGGGTTTGAGAGATGACGGAACAAAGGGAGTAATGGAGATGACGAATGGAGAAGAAGATGAACAACGATTTGTGTTTCTGGAAATCTAATTTAGGGGTTAGGGGTTTAGAAATAAATTAACAAACCAAAGGCAGCGCTTTCAAGAAGCGCTGCTAAAGGTACCCCCCTTTAGCAGCGCTTTAGGCTTACCCCCCCTTTAGCAGCGCTTTTAGATTTACACAAAGGAAGCGCTTTCAAGAAGCGCTGCTAAAGGTACCCCCCCTTTAGCAGCGCTTTTTGAAAGCGTTGTCTAAAGCATACCCTTTAGCAGCGCTTTTATTAATTTTTTAATTTTAATTTTTTTTAAAACCCTATAGCAGCGCTTAGGGAGAAAAAGCGCTGCCTTTGATAAGGCCTATAGCAGCGCTTTTAGTAAGCGCTGTCTAAAGTAATTTTTTTTTTTGAATAACTACAGCAGCGCTTTTGCATAAGCGATGTCTATGTAGCGGTGCCAAAACTCGTTTTTGGCGTAGTGCTTGTACCACCGCTTGATACAAGTAAGCTGGTCCCTATCTCGAAACCAAAGGCTCATGATACCACTGTAGGGGTAATTCCGAGGAGAGAGCATTTTACTTGGGACACACCTTTGTGAGAGACACACCACTTGTCCATCTAAAATCTTAAGGTGATAGATGAGTGAGTTCTCTCATATATAAGTGTTCAATCTTCCCTTTTATAATCAATGTGAGACTTATTACTCACACTTGATTCTCAACAACTATGAATCAGTGATAAATATAATTAGATAATATAATGGTACGCTTAAAGAAACAAAACTATAACATATTATTATAACTTAGAAATTTGTGTTGCTATCTTATCTTATATTAAATAGAAGTTTTTTTTTTGTAAAGTGGAAATATTTTAATTATTGATGCTAACGTAATAATAATTTTTAAATTTTTTATAAAAAAAATACTAAAATTTGTCAATAACAAGTATTTTTTTGAATCGAACGATTTTAGAAAACCGTCTCCGATTCTTTAATTCAAACGGCTTTGAACGATTCAATTTGATTTTTTCGATCTTATTCCGGTTTTGACTCACCTGTAATTTTACAAGTTTAACCGAACCAAAATCACCTTTGATTTTCATTTCAACCGATTGAACCAAACAATTCAGTTTATTTATACACTTCGAACTTTAATAATTGAATTTCCCTAATCCTTTTAAAAAAATAAAGATGATCATAACTCATAATTGAAGGATTTTTTACTAAGCTGTGTGAAAGATTCAACATATTTAAGATTTTTTTATTTTAATTAATTTTTAAAAATCTATTGTAAAGGGTGTAACAGAAAGAAAAGAAAGTTGTAAAAAATAAATAATGTTCCATTATAAAGAATATTTGGGTCAGTTGTTGGAGAAATTAACCTGTCATCTTTTAAATTAAACATGTCATTTTTTTTAATTTTTTTTATTTCACTTTTATTTTTGGATGAGATGTATATTATTTTCGGACGAAATTTTTGATAGAAGAATTAAAATTTTCGGCATCATTTAAATTTTCGATACACCTCTATAAAATTTTTAATATGCGGAAATTTTTAATAATATATTTAAAATTTTCGGTGTATCATAAATTTCAAATTAATTGAAATTTTTTATAATTATAAAAAAATTAAACTATGAGAAATTTTAAAATTTTCGATATTATGTGACGTATCCGATATAAATAATAAATTAAAATATCAGATATTTTAAAAAATCTAGTATAAAAATATTAGATATTTTGAAATTTCCGATATAAAATATCAAAAATTTCACAAATTTGTCATAAACTCTTATATGTTCACGAAATTTTCGAAATCGCCTAAAAATTAAAAAAAAATCCAATTGATCACGTAAATTAAAAATTTATAATAAATAATTAAAATTCAAAAAATTCAGTTTTATCATAATATTTAAGAAGTATCATATATAATGTGAGGATGACAAATTATTTTCTGCATATGTCGCCCTGGCATTTCAGCTACTGCATTTAAAATACAACACAAGCTATCAACCTGGCACCCTATTCTTAAACTCTACACCCCAGAAAAGAAATAGAAAATAAAACTAAAATGTCCCTCATTTTTCTAAATTATGCGTAATATCTAGAGATATGGTATCCTTATTTTTGAAATTATGTTTTTTATTATATTTTTTGTATAAACATGTACAAAAATGATATCAGTACAAAAATTATATCATATTTTTGCAAAATACATATTTTATGCATCTTTTCTTTCTCAAAATATTTGGATTTTTCAAAAAATACAGAAACTTCCTCACATTTTAAATATCTCAAATATTTAACAATTTCTTTTTTGGAAATTTTATCAATTTACTGCATTTTTATACGAAATATATGAAAATTTAGATCCGTATTTTTTAATCTATGTATTTTTGCCGCATTTTCATGTAAATATGCAAAAATTATGAAGAAAGATATAAGCATAGAGATTCCAGATAAAATAATCTCAAAATACCTTTATTGTTATTAATTGTATTGTATTTATAGTTCAAAAAAATTTTATACAGTAAGTTAATCATAGATATTGAGTTTTGAAAAACGTTTAGATTTTGATTTTAACCACCTATAAAATAATGTAAATAGATAATAAAGATAAATTTATGGTGTAAAATTTTGTACTTTGAAAAAAATTTCTTTCTCAATAAGTTAAGTACTTTATTGTTATTAATATGACCTATAGATAGAACAAAAATTATTTATCGTTACTCATGCACTTAGCTGAAATTTTAAAAATATTTTTAGATTTTAGATTTTAAAATTTAGACATGTCTGAAATATACAACATACTTTGAAATACGCTAAGACCAATATTAAAAAAAAATCAAATTTTAAAATAAAAAATCTACCTTAATACTATCACGTAATCATACCACAAATTCATCTAAAAGGGTTCCGAATTTTGAAATCTGAAATATATCTATTTATTAAAGAATCAAAATAAATTTTAAACAAAATCACAAAATAATGCCATGAATTTTTTACGGATTGTAAAATCCAGAATATATCCTATTATCAAGAAATAGTAGCAATTTTATAAATAAATAAATAAAAAATAAAGAAAATACAAATTAACATAAATATTTGTTATCAGATACACAAAATATGTAAAACTACATATATCTTTGTTAAAATAAAATCTAGCATCACATTTCATGATCTAGAGATGGTTGAATATGTTTCAACATCTTTAGATTGTCGATCAATCTCGCCACTGTCGCATCCACTTCGATCTGACCCTCATTTCATAACGATGAAAAATACTCTATGTAACTCTTAAATCTTCATATGTCTTCAACTTAAAGTTATTGGACTTTAACTTTCCTTTGTTATCAATCAAGGGTGAATGGTATTTGATCTTAACCACCATTCGATTGTCTATGTACCATAAGAGATTATCCAATTAAGATTTTAGAACTTTAAGATATGTGTACTATGTGACCTTAAATTCAAGTGTAGAACTCACGTTAAATTAACAAATGTGAGTTACCAATATTGAGACATTTTATAGTGTTTTCGATTGTTACATCTACATAAGAGACATATTCATACAAATTTTAGAAAAATAAGAACCATACAAAAGCTCTCATATCTCATGTGTCATTTCGAATTTTGAAATTTTGAGTCAATTAGTTACAATTAATGGTTTGTCCGAATATTGAATTCCAGAGTGGCCCATTTACGTTTGAAATAATAACACAACAATAAATATAGTTTTAAAATCCGGAGTCATCAATTACAAAATCTAATGTTAGATATATATTAGAACACATCAAAATGTATCTAGTTACAATGTTGAATATAATAATCCAATATTACATACAAAAAAATGTGTCACACCTAAAATGCATAGTAAGAAAAAACTAAAATGCATTAAAACATGATTCACAATCAAAACATATGTCCTGGTTTGCTTTTCTTTCTATTTCACTTAACTTGACAAACTCTCCCATCATATCCAAAAAATTATCTGGCCAACTTTCAGCATCATTTGTGGAATGAGATGTCCACTCAAGCGATATTTGTGGTATATGACATTCTGATTTCAAATAAACTCGAACAAAATATTGTGATTTTGAAAGCCACCATATACACATAATACGTCCGGTTGGATCTTGAGGTGGTCCACTTCGAGTCGGAAAAATATTTATCAGAAACCATATCTTATCAAATTGATACACATCCTATTATATGCATTTTCTATAAGATGACCTATTTTAAGAAAACACTTCCATTTTTCTATCGGTGTTGGGCCGCTAACACAAGGAATAAGAGTTGTGTGAATTTCATCAAAATATTTTTTTTCCGTATAGCGTTGTGTATGATTCCTCAAGTGTCTTCAATTTTTTGATAAGATATTGGCAGACAAGTGTATGATTCTCTTCTCTGTTACCTAGCAAAGTTGAAACAGCGTGATAACTGCAATTAGCGTCACCTATGACATGTGCAATATAGTCAATATATTTGTGCATAAAAACTAACAACTCTTTAATGTGTATCATTTTTGGTAAAAGTGGTGACAGTGGTAAAGGTGGTGAATGCGATAATCTTTACTTGTTAGTCTTATATGTTGAATCAATTAAAAGAATATTGGAAAAAATATTGAACAACTTGATGGAATCAAGATGAGTCCAAAATATATCTCGAACAATTTTTCAATCATCATAAACTCTATACTTAGATAAATAATGATCACTGTAGCGGCAAAAAGTTGAGACTAAGTCATTGATTGACTTAGCTCACAAAGTGAAAGTCGTCACCGCACTTTATTATTTTCAAAAGGAAATTGGAAAAGAACGAATAAAATCTAAAATAAATAGAGATCTAGATAAGGGGGCCGATTATGCAAAGAGAAGATATTAGCATCCTAAACATATGTTGTACTCAACGAGATCCACTATATTTGTTCTAATCAAAGGGTGT